CGCAGCTGACATGGGCTGTAGCTCACTGGTTGGGCACTTGCCTAGCATGCACCAGGCCCTAGGATCCCCCCCAGCACTGCAAACAGACAACGGAAGGAGGGAAGGAAGGGAGGAAGGGAGGGAGGGAGGGAGGGAGGAAGGGAGGGAGGGAGGGAGGGAGGAAGGAAGGGAGGGAGAGAGGCCGGCCGGCCCAAGTGCAGACCCCACCTCAGAGCTCCTGGATCAGCGGTGCACGTGGGCCGGATCTCCACCAGGGCAGGTTACAGCTCGAGGAGCCGGGATTTCCCTCAGCTGCCCGCCACCTCTGAGGAAGCTGGGGTACTATCCACTAGCCCCTCCACATGAGCAAGGGCTGCTCCCCATGTCAGCTGCCTGCTGTTCCGCCCAGCCTCAAGGAGCCCACCGCCCACCTGCCACAGCACCGAGGAAGCCCTGGAGAGCAGGAGGGTGCTTCGGCAGAAGGCTGCTGTCCTGTGAGTGGGAGTCAGTGCAGGAGCACCGCCAGGTGTGATCCCAGGTGGTCTGCTCCAGAGCGCTCCCTCTCACCACCTGCCCCACTTTCACACCCTCAACTGGTCCCCATGTCATTGTCCCCATTCCCCAATGAGCAGCCAAACCCTGGGAACACTGGCAAACTGCAACAAGAGGCCAACAGGATTGGCGCAGGTGCCGTGGGCCCAGGATGCCTCTCCAGGAGATAGAGGAGCCCACTCAGGGCCCCTGGAAGACCTCCTGGGCAGTGCAGCCTCTGTGAGCCCCACCAGCCTGACCAGCTCCCAGCCCTCAGTCCTGTTGCCATGGCCACCACTAACAGCCGGGATGGAGCGCGTGACTAGCCTTGGCCGGGGCTGAGCGTCCGAGGCCCTCCAGCAGTGCCAGGCAGGTAGGGGCTCCTCCCTGCCTGCGGCTCAGCCCCAGCCCCGGGACCCAGCGTCCAGGGCAGAAGAGGGAGCAGGATGGGGCCAAGGGTCAAGTGTGGCTTCCCAGGGGAAGTGAGGGGCTCTGAGAAGCCAGGAGAAGGGGAGGCTGACTTGGCCAATCCAAAGAGCAAGAAGGGCCGACTCCTGAGGCTGGTCAGAGCCTTTCCCTGGATCTGTCTCCCACTTCTGTCACCTTGGGTGACCTTGGTAAGTGATGGAAACTTGAGGTCCCTCGAGTTCTCATTCATCAAACGAGAACAACAGTAGTGTCTCCTTGTGGAGATTCTTGTCCCCAGCCCCTGCCTTTCCCTTTAATGCAGTTTCTCACCCCTTCTCCATTGGGAGACTTCGCAGCCCGCTAGCATTAGCTGGGCCAGGGAGCATGGACAGGCCATGGCCACAGGCCGCCCTGCCACGTGGCTCAGCTTGTGCTCTGCACCTGACGTCCCCGAGCGAGCACGCTTGGGTTGTCAGTGAGCAAGGGGACAAGGAGGGAACTGGAACTCGGGCGCAGCCCGGCAGCACCCAGTGCTTCACAGTCTCCAGCAGGGCCACGGCCAACATGCACGCCAGCGAGTGGGGACCAGAGCTCGCTGTTCCAGCCACTGACTCTGTCGGGGGTGCTGTTCATGATGTGCACTATCCCAGCAAAAAAGAAACTGAGGCACACTGTCCCAGAGGGTTCCCAGGAGAGTTCTGTGAGTGGGGAACAATGCCCTGCACAGAGAGCGTGTGAGCCGCCCAGGCCCTGCCTGTGGCCATGCCCGAACAGCACAGCTGGTAATTTAGAAAGAGCAGGGGAGTACTGGGCTCATGCTTCTGGAGCCTGAGAAGTCAAGAGTCTTGTGCCAGAAACTGGTGAGGGCTTCGTGCCACATCCCACCACGGCAGAGGGTACCTTGTGGCAAGGCAGAGCAAGCCAGTTGGTGTCTCTTCCTCTTCTTATAAAGCGACTGATGCCATAATGAGCCACCCTCAAGACCTCATCTAATCCAAGTGACCTCCAAAGGCCCCACCTCCAGACACCATGAGCGAATGGATGTGGGGGTGAATTTCCAACACAGAAACTTTGGGGGACACTGTGGAACCGTGGCATGGCCCGGCATCTCCCACCCCACGCGCTCTCCTTACAGTGTGCTTTGACATTGCTCCCATCAAGGGTAGTGTTGACGTTCCTTTCCCTTGAATCCAGAGAGGCCAGGGCCTGCAGCAGAAGAGATGCATCGCGACCTCGGACACCAGCTTCCACCTGGTTTTCTTGAGATGCTCATGCGTGGAGCCCATCTGCCATCTGTGAGGAAGCCCGCACTCCCCAAGGCGAGGCTCTTACAGAGAGAAACCAAGAGCCCAGGACCACCTGTCAGCCATGCAGTAGGTGGACACTCCTCTAGGTGCGCCTTCTTGGAAGCGGATCTCCTAGCTAGATGACACGTCTCAGCTGGTGTCTCACAAAACAAAGGTGAGCTGTCCCTTCAGACCTGCCCAAATTGCAGGTTTAAGAGCAAAACCACTGACTTTGGAGGCTATTTGCTCTGTGGCAATAACCAAAACAAGAGGAATGTGCCGAGGAAAAGCCGGGAGTTGGGCTGGCTGGAATGAAGGTGAGCGAGGCTAGTGCTGGCCTCTACTCCGTCAGTGGGCGCTTTGGGAGCCTGCTAAGCAGGTGGTGCAGAGTGGTACCAAGCTGGCACAGAGTGAGGGACAGAGGCAGAGGAGACATGGGGTAGGGGCAATGGGGTAGTGGCCTTGCCACAGTCCTGTTGAGCGGCAAAGGCCAGAACCAGGGTGGTCGAAGCCAGACTGGAGCAGACAGGGCAGGAGGACAGGCGTGGACTCAGTGGACTGCAAGACGTGGATAACCGAAAGCAGAAAGAGGCCGTCAGACAGCTAGGAGCTGGGGGCAGTGGGAGAGGTGAGCCGGCGGGAGGAAGGGCAGCGGAGGGGCGGGCGGGCAGGAAGAGGGCAGGTGGCCGCCTCCCGCTGTTAGCTCCCCAGTCAATGGGCTGTGCTGACCGTCCCTATCCTTCTGTGCTGTTAACTCTCTGTTGTGTTTAAACCAATTTTAATCAAGCCACTTAAGTCACTGCTGTACTGAAAGTCTGAATGCCAGTGTCCCTGCAAAACTTGTCTGTTGGAAGCTAACAGGCAAAGGGAGAGTGTCAGGGGGGCCTTGGGGACAAGAAGTCCTAAGTGACACCCTCAGGAATGGGATCAGTGTCCATACAGAAGTTGAAGGAGCTCCCTGGCCCTTCCTACCACACGAGAGCACAGGGCAAAGGCTCCATCTTTCTTTATCTTAACATTTTTTTTAGTTGTAGGTGGACACAATTCCTTTATTTTATTTTGATGTGGTGCTAAGGATCCAGCCCAGGGCCTCACACGTGCTAGGCGAGCGCTCACCACTGAGCCACAGCCCAGCCCCAAACCACCATCTTGGAAGAAGAAAGGGGGCCTCGCCACACACCCCGTCTGCTGGCAGCTTGTCGTAGACTTGAGCCTCCAGAGCTGTGAACAGTGAATTGCTGATATTTACTACCCAGCAGAAGGGGTTCTGTAGCAGCACCGTGGACTGGAACAGCGCCATGGATAAAGCAGGCCACCGCTGTGACTCCATCTCTGTGAAGTGTCACAGGACAGGCGGATCCACAGAGGAGGGGTTGGGAGAGCAGTGGCCTTTCCAAGGGTTCAGCAAAACCCGTGGGCTGGTGAGAGCCACTCTCTTGACCCCTGAGGGGTTTCCATGGTGGACGCACGAGCTCAGCTGGTTGTTTTGTGTGCCAAGGCCCCACGTCCTCCGTGGTGCAGGCGAAGCCTCATTCAAAAGCTAGAAAAATAAGGCCGAAGAGCCCGGACGCAGGAGCCAGGCTGCTCTAGGGTCCCCAGGCTGTGGGAGAAAAGGAGTGGCTCCTGAGGCCCGGAGGAGGGTGGCGGAGGGAGAAGGCGGGCGCCCACCAGGCCTCCGTTGCCTCTGACAACCGTCCTGGGGGCTGCGCGTGTGCAGATGTCCGCGAGGGCTGGAGGCAGGACCAGGACTCCTGCCCTTGCTCAGCAGGGAGTCCTTTCCAGGCCGTTCAGCCAGGTGTGGGGCTTGAGGCTGGGCCCTATGTCAAGGTGCAGGACACACGTCCAGGCAGCCGTCCTGACCGTGGGGCCCTCCACATCCCCAAGGCCTGGCATCCAGCACTGCCCTCTGTGGGGGGGCCAGCCTGGCAGGGCTGGGAGGTTCCCAGCATGAGTGCGAGGTGGCAGATGCAGGCTGCTGCCTCAACCCTAAACGGGGGGACATGAGGGGTTCACAACCCCCAGATCCTCAGGGGACCTCAGCCTAGGTGTCCCCAGGGTCTCTAGCTCCATCACTCCTCTGTGGGTCCTTCCCTTCTTGCCTCTTCTCAAGCAATAAAGGGAGAAATGTGCCCAGAAGTGAAATGTGTTCGTGTGTGGCGTGTCCCCCGAGTGTCTTTGTTTACCTGGGGCTTTGGCCGCACAGATGGTGCGCTGAGGGGCCTCCAGCCATGTGACATCAGCTTGGCCTCTGAGGGGCTGGAGGCTGAGGTCAGCCGTTCACACAACTGAGTCCTAATAAAAAGATTCCAGCCCCTGAGGCTGGGGGCAGCTCTCCTGACTGGCCACACCCCATGGTGTGTCCTGCACACTGTCAGGAGGGAGAGGGACAGCGGGAAGCTTGTTCCAGGCCTCTCCTGGCCCCACCAGACCACACCTTCAGCAGTCAGTCCCCTAGTGAAGGAGTAGACCTGAGGGGGGTCTTGGGGCCCCTAGCTGACTCCCCATGCCCCTGCGTGTGCTGGGACTCCTCCCAAGTCACTCCGTGTACCTGATCCTTGCAGGCTCTGCTATGGGGGACACAGCCTCTGGTGGAAGCCACAGGAAAGGACCCAGACACAGAAAGGGCCTGTGCGCTCAGTCCCCTGAGCCTACGTGGTGGTGTGAACATCGAGAGCTGGAGAGCACCTGGGGACCCATCACAGCCAGATGTCTCCCCCCTGCCCAGCGAGCCTCTGGACGCCCCAGACCTTGTTCCCTGGGCCGCTCCATCTCCACCTCGAGAAGTAAGAGCCGTCATCACTGTTTCGCAGGATCTTTATTCACAATGCAAAAAAGAAACCATGAATCACTGTGGGGTCTGCTTCAACCTCTGGAGCTTGTAAGAAAGGCAGCCGCCCCACTGGAGAGGAGCTCTTGCTGCCCTCAGGGACCAGGGCCCCGGGAGTGCGTGTTCATTTGGAAGATGGCCTTCCTCTGGCTCCCTGGCAGGCGTCACCATGGCCACAGGACAGGGTCCCCTCCCTTTACCACACCAGGGTCAGGGAGAGCATGGAGGCCCTGGGCCTCTGGCCTGAGATACATCATTCTTCCAGCTGCCCTGTCTTGGTCCAGGGCAGGATTTGCGGTCCCTACCCAGTTGCTCAGCACACCTGCCCGGGTGGCCACTCCTGGACGTCCAGAGCCGGGCTGTGGTGCAGAGGCTGCCTGGCTGGTGCCGTCCTGCTGTTCCTCGTCAGGCTTCAGGGTCCATCTCTCCATCATCTGGGCAAGACCCCATCTCATCCAGCCAGACTAGGAGAAAGAGAGGTCAACATCCGGACCCTCTCCCACCCCATCCAGGCCTTTCCCTGTGAGCTGCAGGCCAGGAGGCAGGGGGCCCCGAGCCGTTGCCCTGAGCTCCCCCAACATTTGGGCAGTGATGTCGCTGGAGGCTGAGAGGGGACCCCAAGCACCCCCTGGCCCATCTCCATGCCTTGCCCTCTGGAGTCTGCTGAGGTCCTGGGGTGGGGGTCTTCTTGGCACAGCCTCACTGGGGAGGCTGGGGGAGCCAAGTGGCCCCTTGTTTTGTGGACAAGTTGAGGCCCAGCAGAGAAGGCTAATCAGGGTCCAGGAGGCTGCTGCTGGGGAGACCCGGGTGGCTGAGAAGTGTCCCGAGCAGCCTGGGAGGGCCTGGCCAGGCCCATGTCTGTTCTCCATAACGAGCACCAGGGGCACCAGAGCTCAGCCCCCGCTTCCCACGGGCCTGGACCCACCTCGCCTTCCGCTCTCAGGCTCCCCTGGGCTCCCACTTTTCAGTCAGGAAACTGAGGCTCACGGTTTGCAGCTGGTAAGGGGCAGGCAGGACTTGGGCTCCCAGGGTTCCCTGCCTGTCCCCCTTCTCCAGGGAAGAGCCAAGGACAGTCTGAGCTTGACACAGTAGATGAGAGGGGACGCCTGTCCCTTCCCTGGACTTTCCCATCTCGGAGCCACCGAGACCCAAAGGAAACCTCTGTCAGGATATGGGCACCTCCCTGGGGCCTGGCCTCAGGTCTGACAGGCCGCCCTGCAGACCTTACAGAGTGTCCCAGCAGCCCTGGGAGTGGGGAAGGCAGTAGGGCCCGCTGAAGGCCCTGATGGCAGAGCTAAGCCCTGGGGCTGCAGCCGCCCACACCCTGTGACTGGACACTGGCCAGGTGCGGGAGGAACGCGGAGAGGGACTGCTCTTCTCTGCCTGGCTGTGTGCCCTTGAGACACGGACCCTGTCTGGACCTGTTCTCTAGACTACAGACAGGGACACTGTTCACAGCCCTTAGGGTTGGGACGAGAGCCACTTGAGGCTGGTAGGAGCCTTAACCTGGTGTCAGACCCTTGGAAAGGTCAGTGGGCTTATGGCTGCTGCAGGTAGAACATGGCTGGCCCCCGCGGCTCCTGACGGAAGCTGGGCCCTCAGCCTGGCCATGCTAGGGGCCTTGTGGTGTTGGTGGGGTCACTGGGGCTGTGGCCCTGGGTGGATGGAGGCTGTTCTTGGGGGACTCTGTTTCTTCTCGTGGGTGGTTGTTAGAGAAAGCAGGACGGGCCCCTGCGCCGGTGCCCGTCTCACCTGAAAGCACTCCCTCTCACGCACCTGTCTGGTTGGACTCTCGGGTATTTGGTTATAGTGTTGAGAGGAGCCCCGGACGGCCACCTGTGCAATCATTGCTGAGCATGGCCTCGCCTGGGGCTGGACGGTCTCCGTGTGGTGAGCAACTGAGAGCCACGCTCAGCACCCCTGGAACAGTCTGCCCAAGGGCCGGTCCCAGGCTGTGCCTTCAGTGCTGCGTCCCCAGCTTGTGCCCAGTAGGACCCACGTCATGACAGACCACTGCTGGGGGTGCCCAGGTGAGGCGTCTATGACACAGCCTGGGTCACACAGCCTGGTCTGCATCCCAGCTCTGCCACGTACCGGCACCAGCTGCATGCAAGAGGCTTAGGCCTGTCTGAACTTCCATTCACCCACCTGTGAAACAGGGTGAAATCGCTCTGAGAGTCTCTGTGCAGGCAAATAAGAAGCCCAGCCTTCAGTTCAGGGCACAGCAGGGCTCAAGAGCCTCTGCTTGGAGGACAACTGGTCCTATAGCTCCAGTGGCACAGACCGAGAGCAGAGGGCACCTGTCTGGCTTCTCCCTGATGTGTGGTCCCCTCCCTGCCTGCATCCAGCTGTGTCTGAAAGGCCCAGGGTCCACCTGCACCCTGGGCGAGCTGTGACCAGGCCTCTCCTGAATAGCCCAAGGTTTGCGACCAGGGAGACGGAGCACGGTCCTCCTGTGGGCAGGGGAAGGCGTGCCCATCAGTTTCCCTGGCTGGAGAACACGCAGCGTGGCGGTCAGCCCAGTCCTCCAATCCCCTGTCCCTGGAGGCCGCAAGGCCGTCAAGACAATTACTCAGCACACGGGGTCTTGCTGGGCTGGTGTCCTGGGGAGGGGCCCTCAGTGGGGCGTCTCCAAACCTGAGCGGGTATTTTAATAAACCCCAGGGCAGGGGGGATGTGAACTGGGCACGGGGCGCAGGGAGGAGCCCGTGAGCCGTCTCCAGCCTGGCAGTGCTGGCAGGACGGCCTCACCTGTCCGCTGGGGGTCCCTTGGCAGCGTCACACCCGTGGGCGTTGGGGGAGTAATGATGATGTTGGGCACGTCCAGGTTCTTGTCACTGAGGACCGGGGCTTCGTCGTGGCTGCTGCTGGCGCTGACACACATCTTAAAGCCTGGAAGGCAGGCACACACGTACACAGGACAGAGGCCGGCGTCAGTGGCCGCTGGAGCCCCCTCCCTTTGCCACCACTGAGAGCCAACGGCACTCAGCAAAGGGGGCATCGCTGTCCCTCCTCCACAGATAGGAAAGCCAAGGCTGGGGAAGGTTGGATGAGCAGTGAGTGCCCAGAGCAGGGTGGACACAGGCAGGTGTCCAGAGCGTCACTAGGAATGGCTGGAAGCAGTAGAGCCTGGATTTGAGCCGACCCCAGCCTCCACCATGCCCAGAGTCGCTTCTCCCTTGCGTGATCCCTGCTGCGTCCTCCTTGAGGTCTGAGGAACGCAGGGCGCCGCCACTGGCCTGGGGTTGTCTCTGCGCCAGGCCTTCTGGATCGTTGGTCCCCTCGCCCAGAGACTGGTGGCACAGGTCATTTGGCTATGCCCAGTTATGGACCTCCAGCTGGATAAAGTCCTTGCCAGATGTCCCCTCCCCTGCCCCACCTGGGCCAGTGGCGCCTGCTAGAAACCAGAGCCTCAGTCTCCGTCCCCAGGCCTCCCAACCTCTTGGCCTGACTCTGCCTCCCCAGGCCTCTGCTTCTTCCTTCCCCTCTTCCGCCCTCACTCATCCTGCAGCCTCCAGGTTCAACCTCCCCAGCCTCCTCAGATCCCATCACACCGCGTCCTGCCCTGACCCTAACCCAGACCGCCAGCTACCGACAGCATTTCCCAAAGTCCGATCCCTAGAACACTGGCTTTCTGAGACTCTCAGGAACACAATCAAATAAGTTCGGGAACCACACATTCGTCTACTCTACCTTCCTCTTCCACGTTCACAGAGAAGTCCTGCCACGCGCGCGAGGAGCAATCTCATTCATTTATTAATTTAGCAGCTTAAACAACCATCAGCAGGGCTGGGGCTGTGGCCCAGCGGTAGAGCGTTCGCCTAGCATGTGTGAGGCGCTGAGTTTGATCCTCAGCACCACATAAAGAATAAAATAAAGGTATTGTGTCTATCTACAGCTTAAAAAAAAATTAGGAATGATTCCTAGCTGCTTAACCCTAGGCTTTCTGAACTTCGATGACCTTTGAGTCCATTTCCTTCTTTCTTTCTTGGTACTAGGGATTTGACTCAGGGGCACTTGACCACTGAGCCACACCCCAGGCCTGTTTTGTATTTTATTTAGAGACAGAGTCCCATTGAGTTGCTTAGCACCTCGCAGTTGCTGAGGCTGGCTTTGAACTCGCCATCCTCCTGCCTCAGCCTCCTGAGCTGCTGGGATTACAGGTGTGGCCACCACGCCTGGCCCTTGAGTCGTCTCTACGACTCTATGACATGAGTCATGAGGTGTTCTGGGGAATGCTGACCTTGGGCCAGGCAGCCTCATAGTCCAGTGTGGGCCTTCAGGATGTATCCTCATCTCCTTGCCACCTGCCACTCTTACCAAACTACTTGCAATGTCCCAAACTCACCGGTCCCCTGGGCCTTTGCATAATCTGCTCCTCAGACTGGACTGGGCTTCCTCTGCCAGGGTAGTGAGCTCCTACATACCCTTCAAAGCCCAGCAGAACAGGCCCTTGCTGAGGGTGACATCTCAGCAGACCTGCCGGTTCCCCCCTTAGCCCTCTGTACTGTCACTGCCGGGAGGACACTCAAGCAACCCACGGAGAAGTTCCTGTGGCAGGCAGAGCCTACAGCCAGCAGCCCCGGCCAAGCCCCTGCTCCCCAGCTCAGCCTGCAGAAGAGACAGCAGCCCAGCTGCCGGCACAAATGGGCCCTCAGGGGAGACCAGGAACCAGGAAATCCCAGCCGAGCCCCATGGCTGACCACCGGGCTCCAGGCAACAAGGGCCACTCCCCAGGCTGCTCACAGTTTGTCACACTGGGGACGTCTGATAGCCGGCAAGCTTGCCTGGCCCTGGGAGAAGGGGTGGCAAGTGCATGGTGGGGAGCCACAGGGACTTCCTGGACCCTCTGGTCACCTAAGGGTATTCCTCTGAGGGGCAGGTCACACCAGGCCGTCAACGGATGTTCTGTTTGAACCATGAGAACACGCACATCTAGGCCACCTGGAGCCGCGCAATTTGGGCCACGTCCTCTGTCCGTCTGCAGTGTGGCCGGCTGGGCTGAAGGCAGCAGGCCCAGGGAGGGCACTGGCTTTGCAGCTGGACTATCTGTGCCCCTGGGCAATCACATCCCTCTGGGCCTTTGTTTAGTAAAGCCCTGGCCCTGGCCCAGGAGAGGGCTGGCCTCTGCTCTCCCTCTGGGAGCTGCTCGCCAGCCCTGGGAGCATCCCGGCTGATAGGACGGAGCCTGGTCACACTCCATGTCCAACAACCGGCTCAGGGCGTGGTGGTCATGCCAGAGCCACGCCCAGCCAGACTGCACCTGTGGCAAACCGCGCTCTTCCCGGCCCTACCCCAGGAAGCACCAGTCTGGGTGACTTCAGCAACACACACCTGTGGCCTCAGGCAGGCCAAAGGTCAGGGGTGGAGGTGTCTCCTGAGGCTGGAGAATCTTCCAGGCCTCTCTGCTGGCTTCTGGGGTCGCTGGCAGTCTGTGGCATCTGGGCTTGTCGAAGCCTCATACGGCCTTCTCCCCGGGCACCCTGTGTCCAATGTCCCTTTCTTGTAAAGACACCAGTCATCCGGTAGGGCCCCCCATCCAGTATGACCTTGTCCTGACTAGTCACATCTGCCACACCCTGTTCCCAAAGGGCCTGAGTCTGAGGTGCTGGGCTAGGACTTGGACATGTGACTCCTGGGGGACACAGACACCCTTTGCACTGGCCATCCTGCAGACACTGAGGCTCAGGTGCTCCCCAGATGGTCTGACTCACAGGGAGTGGACGGCTGCAGGGCCTGCCCCTCCGCTGCTTCCCCCGGCCCTCGGGATGCCCTTGGGATGCCCTCGGGATGTGTGTGGCTGAGTGTGGCAGCTCCTGTGTGATCGTGTGTCCCTCCACATGTCATCAACGCCAGGCTGGCTTGGGTGCAGCTGGCAGCAGAAGCGAGGGTGGTCTGTGTGTGCCTGGGTGTCCTTGGGATCCCTAAGGCCTGGACATGCCCAGGCCTTGGCTCCTTGAAGAACAAAGTCCTTAGGCTGACACAGACCTCCTGCCAGCAAGGCTCACTTCGGAACCTGCTTTTCAAGAATGAACAGGGCGGAGCCAGCTCAGCTCCCCTGGGAGACACCTGCACTTGTCATCCGTCCCTGTCCCCGTCCCCTCCTACAATCCCCGCTGCAGCCCACAGATGGGCCTGTCTGCCTCCCAGCGCCTGGCCTCCCCCAGGCTGGCAGCTGTCTACAGAAACCTGGTGCCACCGTCTTGCCTCGGCGCACAGGGAAGGCAGCGTCTCCCGAGCGCACTCTTTGCAGTCTGTTTTAATAGAGCAGACCCCTGTGGCTGGGGAGAGTGGGCCAGGGAACTGGAGCAGGGCCAGTGCTGGCAGGGACAGAGCCCGGTCACCTTCCCTCTCTGGGGCCTGGCTTTGCTCGCTCATTCCCAGCATGGAGGACTAAGGCCCCTCCCTGATGTCTGGGGGAGGTGGCCGCAGAGCTCCTGGGTGCCCCCAGCTCTCTGGCAACCTATCCTGCTGGGTCTGAGCCTGCTCTGAAGCAACAGAGCAGGAAACGATGCAGGGGACCACTGGAGTGGGCCTGCTGGGTCCGCTGGTGTCCCTCATCAGTCCCGACGGGTGCTGGGGCCCAGGAAAAGCGTTACCAGCCCATTTCAAAGACATGGACACTGAGGGCCGGAGAGTCATCCACACAGGTTAGGAGCTGATGTGGCAGAGCCAGGGTCTATGCTGAACCCAGCAGTGACTACAAAGGCCTGTGCTCCTGTTACCGTGATCCCAAATGGCAGCGCTGACCAGCTTTCTGAAAGGACCAGAAAGTTTTGCTGACTTGGGGCCACACCACAGCCCACATCCGCCTGCGGAGGACACAGCCTGTGGGAAGAGCAGGCAGGGTCTGACCCAGAAAAACTTGACTTACCAGTGCAGGCGGCCTGGGGGTGTGGCTAAGGCCTGGGGGTGCCCAGGTGAGCTCTGCACGCCAGCAGGCCTGGGGACAAGCTGATGTCCTCACGGGGCACAGAACCTTGGGAGCCCGGCTTCTTCCTGCCAGAGGCACGGCTGCCCTGGGTGGAGTAGCACCTGCCTAGCATGACCTCGCTGGCCAGGGCCACCACACTGCCTAGCCCAGCCATGGACTTGCAGGGCTCTGTCCGCCTCCTCCAAGGCTTCCAAAGAGCTCCCTGAGGCCCAACAGAAGGAGGCCCCACACCTTAGTCTCCAAAGTCCTAACAAAATGCACAGGAGAAAGGCCTGTTCCTCCAGGCCCACATTTGCATTTTAACAGGGTCCGTAGCTGCAGGACAAAGCCCACACACTTCATCTGAAAGGGGTTGCTCAATGGCCCTGGAGAGGGGAGGAGGAGAGGGGAGAGGAAGCAGGAGAGGATGGCGAGAAGGGAGCCAGGGAGGAGCGAGGGGAGGAGGGCCAGAGGACAGAGGCCAACTGCCCCAAGGAGCTCAGGGTCCCTGAGGCAGAACTGCCCCTTGCTAATTGAGTGCCCTGCCACCCTGTGGCCTCCTTGAAGCCTGTTTCCCAAGGAGGGGGCAGGAAGGCAGGAGGAGCAGAAGGGTCTAGGCCCAGGGAGGCTTCCGGAGGACCGAGAGCTTCTACAGGAAGCCTTCTCTGGAGCACTTGGGTCCCCAGGCCTGATCCCAGCACTGTGGGGGCAGTGTGGAGCCGCCCGGAAGGGCCTTCTGTGTGGTCTCTGGGAAGGTGCAGTGGGACCAGCCGGGCAGGCTGGGCTGTGTCAGACTCTGCTCTGCCCTCTGCCCCACCTTGGCCACCCACTGGAGATTCTGGGGAGCTTAGCAAACACGCTGCAGCCCCGCCCTGCCCTGGGGTCCCGCTCTGCGGAGGTGCCAGGAGGTGAGCACCTCTGGAAGGTTCTGGTGGCCTGAGGTGGGGTGACATAGCAATGAGTGGCTTTACTCTCTGAG